ATCTCATTCTGTTCTCATAAATAAACTGACAGGCTGTGAAGTAAATGATTACACAGTCAGGTGGGTGGCAAATTAGCTTAGGGGTTACACCCAGAGAGTGGTGGTGGACGGGTCAATATCAGCCTGGAAAGATGTGGGCAATGGAGTCCCGCAAGGCTTGGTCCTTGGACCGGTGATATTCAATGTCTTCATCAGTGACTTGGAAGACGGCGTGGAGAGCACCCTGTCCAAGTTTGCAGATGATACCAAATTGTGGGGCAAAGTTAACACACCAGAGGGTAGGAAATGGATCCAGGTGGATCTGGATAGGCTGGAAAAAGGGCAGAATGAAATAGGATGCAGTTCAACAAAGACAAATGCAAAGTGCTGCACCTAGGCAAAAAAAACCACCAACACACTTACAGGCTGAGGGATGACCTTCCCAGCAGCACAGCAGCAGAAAGGGATCTTGGAGTCATGGCTGACTACAAGAGGAACATAAGTCATCAATGTAACAAAGTGATCAACAAAGCTACCTGCACTCTCTCATGCATTAGCAGATGCACTTCAAGAGGGATGTGGAGAATCTTGAGAGGGTTTAGAGGAGGGCCACTCATATGGTCAGAGGCCTGCAGGCAAGGACCTACAACGAGAGACTGAGGGACCTAGATCTCTTCAGCCTTTGCAAGAGAAGGCTGAGAGGTGATCTTGTGGCTGCCTATAAATTCATCAGGGAAAGGCAGCAGGGAGTAGGAGATGCTCTATTTACTAGGGCACCTTCTAGAATAACTAGGAACAATGGCCACAAGTTGACAGAGAGCAGATTTAGGTTGGACATTAGAAAGAAATTCTTCACAGTAAAGGTTGCCAGAATCTGGAATCAGCTTCCAAAGGAAGTGGTGCTCTCCCCTACCTTGGGGGTCTTCAAGAGGAGACTGGACAAGCTCCTAGCAGACCCCAGCGTTCTTTCCTGTCCAGGGCGGTGGATCAGACTCCTTCTAACCCCAACATCTATGAATCCTATGATATCGATCCAATTTTTGATACACAGCTCTTCAGCTTGAAGCTGGTAAGTCTGGTGTGGTGGAAGGGGGGGGGTGGCATATCAAGGCCCCTGTGGCAAGGGAGGGAATGGGGCTGGGGCAGACGCTGACCAGCAGGGACAGAGCCACAAGTGGCTCATCCGCAGGGGTGGGGGAGGGAGTGTGCCACCCAGATCTGTGTGGCACAGGGACAGCTCTAGCTGTGAGCTGGGGTCGGCGCAGCAAGGAGGCACAGCTCATTGCGCGGGTGGCTCCTGCCACTGTGCATGGCTCGTCTAGTGCTCATCTGGCAGCTCCAGCCACTGTTCCCACTGCTTCTCCAAAACAGCATGGTGGGGGTGGAATATGCCCTCGGATCTGTTCAGCTGGGAAAAGCCTGGTCCCAACCCACCCTGCCCCATGCAGGTCCAGGGGCACACATCCTGCCTCCCTGTGCCCTCCCGGACGAGCGGCAGCAGTGGTGGGAGCTACCAGATGAGCACCAGACAAGCCACACACAGCAATGTGAGCTGCACACCCCACCCCCCTTCCTGCACCCCGTGCCCGCCCCAGCCGGGCAGCCCCTGCCACAACCCCACAGGGACAACACAAGGGACTCCCTCACCGGGGGTGCCTTGATCAGCCCCCCCCATGCTCCTTCCCTTTCCACCACACCAGACTTACCAGCTGCATGCAGCTCTTCATGCTGGTGACTCTGCTGCTCACTGCCTACATGCTGAGCTGCAGCTGTGTGCATGCATTGGCATTTACTGGACAAGTTATCAGCCACATTGGGCCAATTTCCGATACAGAAAATTTTCTTTGCATCAGTGCTGATCCGACATTGGACCAATGGTGCACCTCTAACATCCTTAGAAGTGGTCTGGGTACCTCAAAATAAAAGCATCTATGAGGCACACACATTTTGTACAAACTAAGAATCAGAGGGTAAGTAAACCAACAAAGCTGAGTGACAAATTTTGAGAGGTTTCTGATGCCAAACAGAAATCTGGCAGAAGATATTGGTAGGTCTCTTGAGCCACAAGGATCTAAAAAAAGCAGTCAGAGTACAACGTGGAAAAATTAAACAAGTACATTTGCACTGGTATTCACTCTAGAGCAGCAGTTCTCAACCTTTATAAACTCAAGGGGCCCCTATGTAACTTTTCAGAATTTAACAGCACTCCACTTTAAAAACAAAAATAGATATACTAGATGATAGCGTTGTTATTTAATGTACACTTAATTACATCACTGTATTATAACGTAATGCAAGATGCATACTGAGTACCAAATCCACTCCTCCAGGCTGCTGGCAGGGATGCTTCCCAGCTCTGCCTGGCCCA